CATGTTTTTTAGTTGCACACATTGTCTTAGTTTAGGGCAAATTAGGAAGGAAAACTCCAAATGGGGATTTCCCCAGGGAAATGCCCCTCCCCACTAACTGGTCCGGGAAAAGAAAAAAAAATTCCTTAGAGAGAAGTGGAAAAAGCTGTTTATTTAACAGAAATTGAGTAATATTAAATAATAAAACCTCTTGCTGTTCGATGGGATGGCAAGTCTAGGAAGAAAAGTCCTTTTCATGTGGTGTAGCTCGGCTCGCTCAGGTTCTTATCAGTCCCTCTGGCGCTGGAAAGTGCCGAGGCCCAGGCCCCGGTGGGCCACAGGCGTGAGCTCCTGGGGTTTGGCTGGGTGTTCAGTCCAGAGCAGGCTTGCACAGATCCAAGAAAATTGGGAAAAAAACAAACAAAGGTCTAGGGAACTCCTCTGCCTCAGCTAGCTAAAACTAACTAAAAATCCAGAGAGAAGCTCTGTCCCGCTGTCTGTCCGTGCTGCAGACACCACAGTCCAGGAGCGGGATGTGTGGGAGTGATGTTTTTCCTTAACACAAACTGCGCGCTTCTTCTTCCCCCTCTCTTGCTCTCAAAGCCAGTCTTAAAGGTGCAGAACTTAATATATAACATAAACCAGACGATTGGGGATACCAGTATCATAAAGTCACCCCAGGACACACATATACACAGTCATTTAGATAGTTCCTTTTTAGGAAACATGAATGTAAGCAGGAATGATGAATATAATCCAGCAAGTGTTGGTTTACTGGCATTCCTTTTTTATCAGAACACTTCATGTGTTTTCTTTCTGGCTTCCCTGCAGTGTGATCATACCTACAGTTTTCTAGAAAGCTGTTTGTTTTTTCTTTCTGTGCCTACACAGGAATTATATATTTTTCTCTAATGTCTTTGTAGGATTTTGATGATTTATCAGAAACTGATATAAGCAATGAGGATCAGCACCATGATGTCAAGCCTGAACTTATGGAGGATGAGCTTAAATCCAGGTTATTTCAGCTTGCTGCTAAAATGAGTGACAAGGAAACATCATCTGGTGAAGAAAAAGAATCAGAACCTGGAATAGATGTGGAAAACCAGAAGGAGAGTTTGTCCTCAGAGGAAAATGGCAGAAGTATTCAAGAAGAGTTAAAGAAGGTAAGTGGTAGTTGTAAAGGAGTGGGAATACTACTGTAAGAGTTAAAATGCAAAAAGAGAAAATTCTGGCTAGAAAACTGAACACAGTTGCTTAAAAAAACCTGAGGTCCTTTATACCAGTCTGAGCCTGAACTGCTTGTGCAGATAAAAGTTCAGTTAAGGTGTGTTTTCCTCTGTGAGGAACAGACAGCTTACAGCATCAGTTCCAATCAGGGAACTTAGCTTGAGCAACAAAACTGTTAACTGGGTAATATTAATGGAATTATGTAATTTTTTTGTCCTTGCTAACCAGACAGTTTAAGTGGTTTTTTCCATCCTTTTAGTTGCTCCTCTCTTCGTAGTATCATCTTGTTCATACTGATGGCATAGTATATGTCTCTACTCACTCTTTTTTGTCTCTACCAAAATAATTAGTGTTTCTTTAAAGCTTTCCAACCCTGTTACCTTGTCAGCTAATAGGCTTCTGAGAACAGTAACATTTTCTAATGAAACTGAAATTCAGTGTCAGTTCTGATAGTGCCTGAGAATCCTTCATTTGTACCATTTCACCCTTACAGTGAGATACCAGATTTCAGTGTCACTCACAGGATTTACCACCTCCTCTCCTCTGTTTCGACCTCTGAATTTCTTTTCAGATCTTTTGGTATGCTTGAATTTGGTGCTATAGGAGCCCAGTGCTGCCCCTTGCCAGTCAAGCACTCTTATTCCTTAGATCCACTAATTCTAGTCTGCTGCATATCTTGACTTCCTTTTGGGGCATCGTGTGCACAGCAGCTGAGCTTTGACAAGGGATATGGACAATTCTCTAAAGGAAATCTATTTGTCATAATTTGAAAGGTGTTTTGTTCAAATTATATGAAGAACTAATACACTAGGAGGTGTACTCAATACAGGATCGAGTCATCCAGGCTGTCATGGGGTGGCTTTACCTTTAAGGTGGTTTTGGGAGCTAAGGAAGTTGAAGCTGCTGGTGGCTGATGGGAGTCTTTCCTCCTGACCAATTATCAGTCATTTCTAAGAATTGACAGCAGTTTTGACCATTAAAAAGTGAAGTCAACCTGTGAACACCTCCTTAAGATGTAAAGTCAGAGCACTCTTGTTCTCTTTGTTCCCTGGCTGTGAAAGGTAGCAGACCTCTGGCTGGCCTCCCATTCCCTGCCCAGGCCATGCGGCCGGGTGGGGGCTGGGCTGGGCCCAGCGGCTCCCGGCCGGGAGATGGGGCCTGCGGGGCTTGCCCCGGGCTCTGGCTGGGCCAGGCCGGTCCCTGGCTCGGCTGCAGTTTTTTTTTTGCTGTGACTGAATTCACCAGAGACTGCCGAGTAAAGAAAGGAAAAAGCTCTGGACCTGTGACGTGCTGAGACAGCGACCACACTCTCCAGAGCAGCCATGAAGAATCTTCTATCACAGACAACTCCAGCTGCTGCTCCGGCAGAGATCACAGAACCATCTACAAAACCTGGGCAAGATTTTAACCCTTTCATTGCCCAGATGAGACTTGCAGATTAATCCTTTTATCCAGAGAAAGGAAAAAGAGAGTAATCAACATGTAAAGAGACTTTATAAACTATCAGAGACAGTAAAGAAAATAATTAAGCTCCAGAAAAGGTAGAGAATAAGGAGATGCTTTATAAGCTGAAATATTTTTCTGTTAAAGCTATGGAGATGGACAATAAGGTCTTGAAAAAAACCCTTTAATTCATGACAGAGTATATAGGGAGGAATAGAGTGTTCAAAGTGTGGATTTTGAGTAAAAAGTAGAGTAATTGTGATACAGTGAAGTGCTGGAACGGAGTGAAGCAAAAATTTGAAGCCTTGGGGGGCAATGAGAAAACCTGTTTTCCAGTAGAGCTCACAAAGACAGATGAAGAAGACTTTTGCCTTTGAATAACTCATCCTTAAAATGACATCCCTAGACTCATGACCCATACACACCTCAGAGTGATGTGAAATGGGAGGAGTGAACTGATGACAAGAGTTCTGGGTAACTGGCATCAGAAAAATAGAAAGCTATAATAGAAATAAGTAATTTTTTAGTTACTGCTTTAAAACCACGACACAGGCAGACAATAGAGATGCAGTCAAAGTGTGCAGGAATGCTGTCAAAAGCCAGTGCCCATCTGGAGCTTAATCTGCCAAGAGACACAAAGGGAAAAAAAAGTCTTCTATAGGTCCATCAGCAGCAAAGGGCAGATGAGGGAAAGTTGGGCTCACTACTACAGTGATCTGGTGACACAGAATGTGGAAAAGGCTGCTACACAACATTGTTTTCACCTCAGTTTACAGGTAAGATTTTCCCTCAAGAATCCCAGGCCCCTGAGACCTATGGAAAAGCCTGGAGCAGTGAAGATTTATCCTTGGTAGAGGAGGATCAGGTTAGCAGATATTTCAAAAATTGGGATGTGCACATGTACATGGTGTCTGAGCTTCCAAGACCTGAGGGAACTGGCCCATGTCACTGTGAGTTCATCTTCGAAATATCATGGCAATCTGAGACATTCAGAGCTATGAATATTGTTTATTTTGGCTTTAGCAAGACTTTCAGCAATCAAATGCAAAGGAAAATGCAAGTCCTGCACCTGGGAAGTGATTAGATGATGCACCTCTCTTCAGTATTGGTGAGGCCATTTCTGGAGTGCTGTGTTCTGTTTTGGGTTCCAAAAGGCACAAGGTACACATGGACACACTGAAATGAGTCCTGTGAAGGGCCACAGAGATGATTAAAAAACTGGGGCATCTGTCATATGAGGAGAGGCTGAGAGAGCTGGCATTGTCTTTCCAAAAAAAGAAGAGAAGGCTTGGGAGAATCTCTTCAATGTGTTTAAATACCTGATAGGGAAGAGTGAGGAGTGTTTGTTGTGGGAAATGAAGTGGAAATGGAACTCTTTCCACTGACAGGAATGGAAGCAGTGGGCACAAACTGGAATACAAGAAAATCCCATCCAAATAAAAAACTTTTTCCCTGTGATGGTATTTAAATACTGGAATAGGTTTCCCAGAAAGATTGTGGAGTCCGTGGCCTTGGATATAATCAAAATCTGGCTGGACATGGCCCTGGGCATGTTCTTTGAGCAGAAGAGTTGTATTAGGTGATCCCTTTACATTCCAAATGTAAGGAGTGTTTGACTCTCTGATTCTGAGTTATTTAGCCATGGAGTACACAGGAGTGTAAATACCTTTGTTATCATGTGTGCAAATGCCTCCTTGATGTGCACACAACCTTTCCAAAGAAATCGCATAAAGGTTTTATTGTCAGAGCTTGTTAGCAGCATTTAATTTGTTTTTATTTGGTTTGCAAAGACAAAACAGCAATATTACAACAGCATATATGGGCTAGCTGGGGTTATAACATGATGCAAATTAAATCCAGAATTAAAGGCTATAAAGAAATTTCTGAAATGCTTCTGTATAGAGAACTGAGCACAGAAAATGGTGAATGTATGTTTTTGGTGTACTTATTCATCTGCATGCATCTACAAAGTAATATTTGTTGGTTTTTTCTCTCCTAATTCTGCTATTTCTTTAAAATTTGTATGTCAGTTATTTAAAATGAAGCAAAGATTAATATATTTTCCTCAATAAAATTTTCTTAAGTTTTAATAAGGAAGGGCTTACCATGTTCAGCAAAAAAAGGAATGCTTGGAGTTCATAATCCTTTATTTGATTTGGTTAAAAAAGTTCTCATCATTAATGGTCATAGTATATACTCATTTTGTCTATAATAAAGAAACCAGAATACTCCAGTACTCTTCATGGTCTGGAATTCAGCAGGAGAACCTTCTCCAGGTGTAGAGAAACAAGCACACTGCTTTCATTCTTATTCTTGACAGTTGTCCTTAAAGATACTTTAAAATCTTCTGACATGTGCCTTCTCTCTGGAAAGTTGGCTGGCCAATGTCTTACGAAGAAATACTGATGATGACAATGTATAATACCAGTTGGGGCTGTGGTGACAGTCTAAAATACCTCAACTCATAAAAGATGCAATAACATTAGGATGAGTAGAAGTCATGTGAAAGACAAGCATAGGAAACCTATTTTTAGGCAACCAGTAATTTTAGATGCCTTCAAAGCTAGAAGTTCCAAAGTCTCTTGAAAAACCCTGATTGTTGGAGAACGCACTTGTAGGGATTTACAGATCTTTCAGGCTAGCACTCGACATTATTGGTCAGAGACAGCCTTCTGACCTGTGCATCAGGTTTCAAATTAAATATACAGAAGCATTAGTTCTGCACCATTAAAATGAGACCTCAAGTGCCTAGATTCTGGCTTTCTGTTCTTGAACATAAATACTGTACTTCAGCCATCTTACTTATATTTTAGCCATGCTGCTTGTCTTTGTTAGCCTTTAATCTTATGTTCTCATAAATTTATTCTGGAACACTTAAGCAACTTTAAATGGCTGGGATTTTTTAGTTCTCGTATTCTTCACAATAGGATAAGACTTAAAAACACATACCATTTTTGAATCACTGGAAATTAAGTACCTGGTGCTTATCTGACCTTCACTTGCTTGCACCTTTAAAACCCTGGACTTCTGTTTTAATGGAAACTGGGAACATCAAGGAATCACACATTGAACTGATGATTTTAAAAGAGTATTTAGTATTTTATGATTTGAAGCGGTGGTAAAAATTACCTTTAATGGAGAGTTAGTTTAATGGAGAGTTTAGCTGAAGTTGTTTGGCATTTATGGATTCTTAGTTCTCACTTCAAATTGAGCTTTTGAGTTGTATGTCATTGTGGGAAATAGAAAAGGTAAAAGACTCTCAGAAGCTGTGTGAAAGCAGATCTGAGAACAGAAGAATGCAAGAATGCAGATATGCAAAGACAGGAAACAATAAGACTGTGTAGAGATAAGCCTTAGAAAATATAATAAGCAAGATAATAAAAAAATACAAGTTTAATAATGAAGCTTTATACTTTGTTTTTAAATTATAAAAAGCAAGCATTGTTAGAAGCAAAGTGTACATGTAGTTTTAATGACTGGCTTAAGCAAATGC